TTTCTTCTCTCTCTCTCTCTCTCTCTCTCTCTCTCTCTCCATCCCCCCCGTCCCACTTGCTTTCCTTCATTGTCTTTTAGCTTTGCACGTTTATAGATCCGCCCTGTTCAATACTCGGCAAACAAGAACTGGTTTTCAATACCGATCTCTGGGCACTGACTGATACCCCGGCCTTCGGCACGAGCAACTGCACCCACACCCTGAGTCGAGGGAGCGTGGTGGGTTAGTGACTGGGGAACACACTGGGAGCCAGCTGCAGGCAGGTTCCCCCGCGGGCATCACTCCTCGCCAGGAGCAGCCCGGATTCTTCCCCCGGGCGCGCAGACAAACCAGGCCACCACGCGCCACCTCTCCGAGTGCCAGCTATCGCCAGCACGCACCTCCCCACCCCACTCCCACCCCACAGCAGTGCCCAGCGCGTCCCCTCGCCCCACCACCTCCGCCGCCCCTCCTTGTGTTCGCTCAGCTCCAAAGTAACAGCAAACTTAGCTGACACCAAAATTCAGCCAGCGGCAACTCCCATTGGTCAGGCTCAGTCCATTTTCCAGCCTCCCATTTGCAGCCGGCGATGCCTGTCAAAGCTCCTCCTTACCGCCCCCTCCCACCCCCTGTCTAATTGCGGGTGCGGGGACTTTCCTAGTTGCTACAGGTAGTCGTGAAGCGAAGGACGCTGCATCGCCCGCTCTGCTACAAGGGGCTGCGCGTTGCATGGCTTCTCTCGAGCGCAGGGGAGTTTCTGGGCCGTGCTCTTTTATTATTATTAATATACCCAAGTTCCCCGCACGTCCCTTCCTCGCGCTGACAGTGCTGCCGCGAGGCGCGTGAGTTTCCTTTGGTTCCCCCGAGCGCACGCTTAAGAACCCGCTTCTGCCGCGCGGAGTAACCTACCGCCGCGGAGTTTGTGCGGAGTGGAAGCATCTCTTCGGGACGCCGCAGCCTGCTGGGGGAGTGACTAGCGAGCCCTTGCCGGGAGCGGGGGCGGACGGACCGGCCTGCAGCCGGGAGGCTCCGATCCCTGGCGGGGCAGCCTGGAGAGCGGACTCGCAGCCAGAGGAAGCGGCCCTGCGCACCGTGTGCCCTCAGGGGAAGGGGGGATGGACCTCGCATTGTTTCTCTGCTAAGCAACTCCTGCCGGGCGCTGGCGCCGCGGAACATGGGCTCTTCGCCTTTGTCTCCCGAGTGAGCGAGCCCTTCGCACGCTGCCTTTGTGAGCCGAGCCCCGCGAACATGGATGTGACCATTTCCGAGCTCATGGAGCTCTTCCTGCAGAGCCCTTTGGTGACCTGGGTAAGTGGCGCCTCATTGTTCTGGGACCTGTGTGCTGGGGCGGGGGCTGCCCGCTCCCCCCGCGCCTCGGGGAGCACCTGGCTGGGTGCCCCGAGGAGCTGGGGACAGGTTAGCGTCCCGCTTCCGCTGCGCGCACACACCAACACCGCTTTTTGATTCTTAAAAGCAACTCCATACAGAGATCTCTTGGCCAGGCTGAATTATCCCCACCTTGGCGGCTGGCAGGGGAACAGGTTTATGGGTCCTCGTTATTTTAAATAATAATTAATATGAACTGTCTACTCCAGGAATCGTGCAGTTACAAAGTAGTTCTATTTTTCAACTTTAAATAAAGCTGCCGCAAGTGTCTGCGACCAGTCTGGGGGTCTCCTAGCAATCTGCCTGCAAAACAAAAAGAAACTTTCCTTTCTGAGAGCTAGCGGGTTGTTCCCCTTGTAACAGAGTTTGTTCTTCGGTGCTGCTCACAATAGGTGCATAGAAGAAAAGGGATTTTGATCTGGGAGGGAGGGGACCATTTTGAAAACAGGAATCCAGTTATTCTGTTGCTACTTACCTGCTGTTCGGAGGTTTGACTGGTAGGCCCAAAGCAACAATACCTTCCAGGATATGATTGTCACATGAACCATAGATAAGTGTTGGGAGATCAGTAATTGGGATGAATCTTTCCCGAAATCTGAAAAAGGACCGTGTGGCTCTAAAATGGGGAGCATCAAACCCCACCTTTGGAATGGGGGATGGGAAAGAAGTCTGAATGGTGTAAATCTTGCCCTGGTACAATGAGAGCAAGGAGCTTTCTTTCTATGAATTTGACATCCGCTACCGGTTGGGAATCTGTCTCAATCATTAATTTAAATGTGAACAATGTTGTCAAATAGGCCTGGGCACCCTCAGCCCAAAATATTTGTCCCTGTTGGTGATCAGAGTCACCAAATAAGAACCACTGTCCTTTGCTTTTATGACACAGGTACACAGTTCTCGTTGGAGGAAGAAAAAAATGTGTAGGCAGCGAGAACAGGGTTGTTAAGAAACTTGAGTCAAATTCATAGATTCCAAGGCCAGAAGGGACCATTGTGATCATCTAGTCTGACCTCCTGTTTAACATAGGCCAGAGATTGTCTCCAAAATAATTCCTAGAGCAGATTTTTTTTAGAAAAACATCCAATCTTGATTTAAATTCAATGCTGGTGTAAACAAGTTCAGCACTGTTGAAATCAACGGTTTTACAGCAGGGCTGCTTCCCTCCCCTTATGTCAGCCTATTCGCAGATGAGTCTTTTGTGTTTAGAAGATGTGCAGGGATTGTTTAACTACTCGGTTTGTAATTGCTTTGGCAGGAGTGGGGTTGGAGGTGGTTTCTAGTGAGACTTGGGACGTGTGCAATTTTAGGTTATTTTGTAAGAAAATTGTGATTGATTATTAAAATATCTGCTGTTTTTTCTGACAGGTGAAGACATTTGGACCGCTAGGGAATGAAAATGAAGACAAATTGACTATGTATATGGATCTGGTAGATGGTGTCTTTCTGAACAAAATCATGTTGCAAATGTAAGTAATCTTCTAAGGGATAATGAAAACTGCTCTTAGTGTTACAAGATCCAACCTTAAATTACTGTAATTGAGTTGACTTGTATTTAAATGTATACTGGAAATCAATACTTTTGAATAGACAGGTCAGTTTCCTGATATGCAGATTGCCTCATTATTGGTGAAGGTAAAGTGTGTGTTACTGTTTGACAGGCATTAAAGCATTTCAGTCTTCTGTATAATTGATAGAGAGTTGGTTCGAAAACAGGTGCATGGCAAGAGGAAAATCTTTTGCAATATTTTTCCCTAGGTTGGGAGGGGGATTTTTTTTTTTTATTTCCTGAATTTGAAATTGACCACACAGAAAATTTGCCCCAGGTTTAAAAATTGATTTAAAAAATTGCCCTGATACATTTGTTAATTGTTTGTCCCCCTGTGATGGCACATTTCATCATCTCTGGAGAAATGAAAAAGCCTTATCACATGAAACTTTACTGTAGCCAGTGAGTCGCATTTGCGTAGAAGGGCTGAAGTATCGATGTTCAAATATAAAGTTTCATAGTGCTCATGTAGTTCAATAAAATGCTTTTTTATTTGGGTGGCGTGTTTGTCACGGACCACTACAGATAGAACTAAGACATTTATAAATAGTTTAATCTGAAATAGAAAACAGTTACCTTAATCTAGCTCTGTTTTTTTTCCTTTCATTTAAGTAAGCTCTTAGTAAAAAGTTTCTACATTAATCTAGTTTTGACCACATCCTTTCCTGTAGCTGAATTTATCATATGCAGATTCTGTTTCATATGTATTTGTATTTCCATTTAAACATAATGGACATATTTCAGATAAGGAATTTATGTGGAAAAGTTTTTTTGATTTAACTTTTAAAGGTGGAATTTTCAAAAGCGCTTAATATGGGTCTAATTCTGCTCCCATTGAATGAAGTTTATTGACATTTTACCATAGATTTCACTGTATTCAGATCTAGGCCAACCCTGAGCACTTTTGAAAAGCCTGCTGTAGATGATTAACTTGTCACTGGGTGTGTACTGTGCAAGTGTTTTCTGAAAAGTGACTTTGTAAAGATGGTGTCTTGAGTCTGGCTTCTTACCCCAAGATACCTAGTCCAGTATCCTGTCTCTGATGGTGGCCAGCTCCACATGCAATTTGCAAAGTGAAACTGAATTCTTTCTGGTTTGTGCATTACCAGCAATTAAGATTCTGTAAATGGAATTTAGCTAACAATTAACACGAGCCAAGGTCGAATCCAGCACACTCCCTCTGAGGTGTATTGTTTCTGCAGTGTTAACTGAAGTGGTTTAAAAAAAAAAGTGTGTGTGTGTGGGGGGGTGGGGGGATATAAAATCTTACATGGCCTGTGACTCTGGTTACAGGAAGGCCATGTTTATTAGTCATTTTTCATGGTAGAACCCCTTTTTAAATAGAATTTCTAAAATCAGGGCTCTAAGCATCAATATTTAGATCCACATCTAAACTTTCTCAATGTGTAGAAGTGGAAGGGGGTTTTACATCATGTCCATCTTTCCTTAAAGTACTTCTCCATGCCAGATAAAGTTACAGCTGTAATGAGGCTGCTATGGAATTAACTAACTAGAATTAACTAATTTATGAACATTGTTGGAAAAATTTTTTTAGCAGACCTCGTACATCCAAAGAGAAAGTACTTAACAAAGGAAAACAAAAATGGTGCTATCCTGGTGTCTATTTACAACAAAGAAATATGAGCAACCGAGTTTTTCTTTTAGTGATAGAACTGTAGAAGATCACTTGGATTCATTATTATGAGATGCAAAGTGCTTTGCTGACTAAAATTAGTGTGTGTGTGTGTGTATATATATTATTTAAAATAGAGTGTTTACATCACCTCATCAACCATTGAAATGCAGCCACCTCTAGCGAGGAACATAACTGTTCTACAGGGTACAAAAATTTAACAGCGTTTTGGGGCAAGGAGTGAACAATAAAATCCAATTGAAATTGCAGGGGGGTTAACTATAATTATGCTACTGGAGTTTGGTCTGGATACCATACTCTGGCGAAAAATGCCATGGGATCTTTAATGACCACTAGCATTCAAGAGCTTAGTCTTACATCTCATCCAAAAGACGACTCTGCCAGCAGCACCATGGAAAATGTGCGGGGGAAGCACTAATGCACAATGAGTACTGGAGTAAGAAACTCCCGTTAGATTAAACACAAGCGGACAGGGCTTTCTTTTTCCTTTTTTTTAGATGGCTTTGGCAGTGCTTCTGGTGGTGTCTTGGGATCAAAGAAACCAAAACTTTCCTATTGAGAGCCCAAGATTATTTAACTAAGGAACCAGCACTACAGTATTTATGTACACCCAACCCAGCAAGGTGCTGAAGGGAGCTTCTGTCTGTGACCTTCACTCTTTGTTAGCCAACCTTTAGAATTTGCAATGCAATTACTGCTTGCCTGTAAATCAGGAGAGCCTTTCTAAATGTGTTTCTGCCCCACAAAGTTTTCAGAATAGAAAAACAAATGTGTCTCAGAAATGCTCACTCATCAGTTCCTCAGGTTCCATGTGAGGTTGACTTTAAATGCTTGTGTCTTACTGAAACTGTGCTTGTCAGGGTCCTTGATAAATCGGATAGTATATTATGTGCCATGTTAAAATAATGTTGGTGCTCTGAAGGCACGGAGTGTAGTAAATGTTGGCGCTCTGAAGGTGGAGTGTAGTAAAGAGCTGTTAGATAACTGTCTAACCAATCAGGTGTTCTCTTCTTTCCAGTCCTACTTGAAATTGTTTCGCCTGAGGAATATCCTGTTGACAAAGTTGTTTGAACACACACAACACAGGCATATGACTTCACACCTAAATGACAGTTTGAGTTTTAGGTTTGGATTTTTTTATGGTCCCATGTGATTGAAACCCTTATTGTTTAGCTGCAGCAAAACAGATGTCTCTAAATGGGAATTGGTGAAGCTGGTATTTGTATTACCTCCCCTCCCCTCACCCCTGACCAAAACCTCTGACCAAAACTTTGTTTCGAGTTGCGGAGGCTGGTGCTATAGGTGTTTCATTGTTAAAATACATTATTTCTGTCCTGCTGTCAAGTGAGGTTTAATGTCCGATCATCGCTGAAAGGAATCCAGTGGCTCTATTAAGTGGCATGGTTAAACTTGGTGAGCTTTGATTGCTGGCAAAACATAGGGCTTTGACTGTGTGCAGTGCTGAGCAAGCTCCATTCACACAAGCAGACCAATGATTTCTAAATACGGTAGGCTGGTTTATGCCCTACACACCATCTGGCATGCTGGTGTGGGTGCAGAAGGGCTGTGCTGCAGGCAGAACCCCAAGGAGGCATTTTGGATGGCTTAGTCAGATCAGCATGGCAACTGCACCACCCTCAGAGGGAGGTGCAGTGCAGGCTGCCATTCTTTTTGCCTGTCCAGGTCTGCTGGCTGTGTGAAATGGGGGAGGGGGAGTGAGGGGTGGCCTGCTGCCACCCTGTCCTTTTTTAGACAGCTAGAGTTCAGAGAGACTCAGAAATGAGCTGAGCCTCAGGCACGCCAAACTTTGCAAGGAGGGACGATAGGCCTCCTTACACACTCATGCAGGTGATAGTTACATATTGAGTCAGACTGTGGCCAACATCCAATGTTAATGTCACGACATTTTTAAATACTGCTAAACAGGATAAGTCTTTTTGTTGTTGATGGTCTCCTCCTTCTGTATTCTGCCACAGTTGACTCTGACCTAAGCATGTATATGGCACAGTTGCATATCTGTAAATAATATCCCTTATGAGCAAATGATACAATATTGTTTAATGGGGCGCTAAAATAATACAGCTATCCATAGTGAAACTGCAGTAGTACTAGAACTTCTGGATTTCTTGTGAGTGCATTTGTATCAAATTAATACACTGTTCTACAGCCACATTTCAAAGTTTTTCAGACTCTGCTGCATACAGTTTTGTCTCACTTCCTGGTATGAAAGTGACGCAAATCTGATTGCCTTGAGCACAGTGATTACATTGGGGCAGGAATATCTGTTAGTGTAAGCAAATATTTACTGCTTAAGCCCATAGCTTTTTATGATGGAGTGTTTTTATTGGGAAATGGTGGATGTATATACACAAGGAGCCCCAAATATTTGTGTATTGGCTTGTTAAACAATAGGTTACACACCTAGACTGGAACATATTGGACAGGAATAAAGTGACAAAATATCTGACGGGAATAAATCTGACAAAACCATTCTTTTTTTTTTTTTGCAACTCCTAAATGGAAAGTCTGTATAATAAATATCTTTGAATTTTGCTTGCAATTGTCATTGTTTATAATATCAACCTGTCTTCTGTGATCTCAGTATATCTGATAGGAGTAGCCAATATAATAATGGAAGCAGCAAGAAGCCATGTATACATGAGGGTTATATTATTTGGAAGCATATTTCTTGTATTGTTTTAAATCCTATTTGAATATTTATTTTACAGGCAGTTTAGGGCTCTCATTGGCTTTTAGTCTATTAGATACGAAAGAAGAGGAAGCTGATATTTGAATCGTGGCAATTAGACTAAACAAAGTCCCCTTCTGTTGTTTGTTTTCCATTAGTGAATTACTTCCAGGAACAAAGTGCAGGCAAAAGAATACAGGAGATTGGGACTGCAGGATAGTTCTTCCCAAGCCAACTTTTATCTCAGACAAAATCAGCCCAGAGGCAATAGAATACTAGTGACCCTTGGTACATTTGATTATCTGTGATATTTGATAATTCGCTGGCCCTATTTGAGGGCTTCCCACTGACTTGTAATGCTTATTTGCCACAAATTATTCAAGCAAGGCTTATAATTTTGAACTTAAAAAAAAAAATACCTTTCCCATAGTTCATGATCTGGTTTAACTGTGGCTAGTTCTCTGATGAGCTCTTTTCAAGCGCAGTTACCCCGTATTAGCAGCGCAAAGCATTTGACCATCAAGACAGCCCCGCTTCCTCCAAAAAAAAAAAAAAAATTCGGATTTTTTTAATTAATAATTTTGCGGTCCTTTTATTTGCCTTCTGTTT